GGTTCAGGAGGCAGAGGCTGAGCCCAGACTGCGCCACTGCACTCCAGCCTGGGCGACAGTGAGATTCCATCTCAAAAAAAAAAAAAAAAAAAGAGTTGGGCATGTTTGCCTTCTGTCATCGCCTCAAGCAGTGGGCACATCTTTTTTCTTTTTCTTGGTCTAAAAACTGAAAATTGACTAAAACAAATAAAAAAGGAAAAATAGAACAAGGGCTTATTTTATATTCTGGCATGTTCCTTAGCTGTGTGTATGCCACTCTTTTGTATTTACCCATCCGTATCTCTTCTTCCATTATGTAGACTTACTAAAAACAAAACAAAACAAACAAAAAAAGAAACCACACTGAACATCTGAATTCACCAACAGCTCACTTTGGTGCCACATGGTTCTGCTCCATTACCAGACCATTTGTAATTGCAGAGTCAGAATGTAATTTTAACCACCACGTCTATAATTTATTCTTGTCTCAACATTTTACAATCTAAGTGTATATAGCATTCATTTCTGAGTATCTTATGAATTATGGGTAAATTCTCACTTTCTCCCAAGATGCATGATGAAATGATGACATAATGGTATTGGCCCAATCATGGAGCTCTTATCCCCTCAATCTGGCTCAGCACGTTTTTGGAATGAAACCCCTAAATTAAGTAGATTCAATATACATGGCATTTATTATTATTATTATTTTCTCTGAGAAGGAGTCTTGCTCTGTCACCCAGGCTGGAGTACAGTGGCGTGATCTCGGCTCACTGCAAGCTCCGCCTCCCAGGTTCACACCATTTTCCTGCCTCAGCCTCCCAAGTAGCTGGGACTACAGGCGCCCGCCACCACGCCTGGCTAATTTTTGCATTTTTAGTAGAGACGGGGTTTCACCGTGTTAGCCAGGATGGTCTCGATCTCCTGACCTTATGATCCACCCGCCTCGGCCTCCCAAAGTGCTGGGATTACAGGCATGATTACAGGCATCCACCGTGCCCGGCCTGTACGTGGCATTTATAATGTGCAAACTGCTGTGCTAGACGCTGAGGAAGACTAACCCAGAAACTAACCAGCTGTGTCATTTGATCACAAGAAGGGGATTTAAATTGAAGTAAATGTGATCATATGTGAAGAGCTAAATAGGAATCTGCTCTTCAAGGCAATAATGGACAAGGTGATATATGAAACAGGTTTCTCACTCTATGTCCTAGGGTGCTGCTTCGTTTTCGCAGGCCATCTTTAGGAACTGGCTTCTGTCTTGTGTCCTTGAGTGACCTACTGCCTGGTTGCTCCCCATCTCTGCAGGCGCTGCCTCCATTCCAGGGGCCACCACTCCAGCCCCAGATGAAAGATGGAAGGAAATGTAGTGCATGTATTTCTTGCTTCTCCTGGCTTCCTCAGATTTCAGCACCGACTCCTTCCACATCTTGGTGGCTGGGGAGGAGGCCTTTGCAGGGCAACCTGCTATTCATATGCCCCCAATATGTCCATGCAGGGCACAGACTGTGCATGGCTCAGGTAGAGTGTTTGCCATCCTTGCTTTGCTGGAATGTGCCTAGTTTTTAATTTCTATTTCTGGCTTGCTGTGTAGTCTTTTTTTTTTTGTTTTTTTTTAGACAGAGTCTCCTTCTGTCCCAGGCTAGAGGGCAGTGGTGCAATCTCGGCTCACTGCAACCTCCGCCTCCCAGGGTTCAAGCGATTCTCCTGCCTCAGCCTTCCGAGTAGCTAGGATTACACCATCATGCCCGGCTAATTTTTGTATTTGTAGTAGAGACAGGGTTTCACCATGTTGGCCAGGCTGGTCTCGAACTCCTGACCTCAGGTGATCCGCCCATCTTGGCCTCCCAAAGTGCTGGGATTACAGACGTGAGCCACTGTGCCCAGCCTGCTCTGTAGTCTTGTTGGGAAAATCCCACTGTCTCCCATAAGGAAAGAGTCCAAGTACTGGAAAAGAAGAGGGAGAACAGATCAGTTCACAAGGACCAAGGGTCAGTATAGCAGTGGTCAGTCATTTTAGGTGAAAATCCCTTCCCCCACATTAATAACTTAAGTGGTGACCCTGATGATTACCTAAAAGGAGGTGTGTATATATGTGCATGCACTGGTTTCTCATGAACAAAAGCTTTTCAAATTTTCTTTTTCTTTCTTTTTTTTTGCTTTTTTTTTTTTTTTTTGAGACAGAGTCTCACTCTGTCACCCAGGCTGGGGTGCAGTGGCACTATCTTGGCTCCCTGCAAGCTTCTCCTCCCAAGCTCACACCATTCTCCTGTCTCAGCCTCCCGAGTAGCTGGGACTACAGGCACCCACCACCACACCCAGCCAATTTTTTGTATTTTTAGTAGAGACGGGGTTTCACTGTGTTAGCCAGGATGGTCTCCATCTCCTGACCTGGTGATCCACCCGCCTCGGCTTCCCAAAGTGCTGGGATTACAAGCGTGAGCCACTGCACCCAGCCGAGCTTTTTAAAATTCAACTTCCAACAAGCGTAATAACCACATGATGGGAAGGGAACAGATGAGACACCACACTTTCTCCACACTCCCTAATGATACAAATAATACTTGTTAGCTCCTCACATGGGGTAAAAGTCTACTCATTTGACCTTGAGAGCCACCTATGAGCTAGGTGGGACTGTGGTCTCTATTCTGTGGAAGAGGAGCAGGCTGAGACTAGCAAGTGAATTATCCAGGGGTATGAAGCTGCTCCGTGGCAGAGCCCAGTTCATTCCTCACCCTCCTACTGTGAAACCTGTGTGCTTTCCTGAGTCCCTGCTTGCTGGCCAGGCCAGGTGGCAGTGGGGGAAGGCAGAGGGGCTGGGCTGGAGCCAGCAGAGGCTCAGGTCCTCTAGTGCAGTGTCAGGGGTGACATCAGAGCCGGATGGGTGTGACACATTTGTCCTCTATCCAGCCCAGCAGCGGCTGTACCTTCCAAGCTTCTCTGTACTATGTGGGAAGGCAGGAAAAGCAAGTGGAGATGTAGGGTTGTGTGCTGAAGCGGTTTCATCAAGATCATGAATAAAACAGGGCAGAAAGGAAAGCTAGGGGACTGGCATGAAGCCTCCAGGCTGCTCGTAGCCTGAATACTCAAGAGGTCTCAGATGTCCTTCTCATCCTATAGCTATAGCCTCCTCAGAGAACTGGCCTCTCCGCCCCGCGGCCTATCTGGAGCCCTTTCCTGTGAATCAGTCTGATCGAGGCCTATTTGCCCAACCTGCCTCTTTTGAGTACCACTGCACCAGTCCCTGCATTGGCCTATCCCATGCCCTGGCCCCCAATCTGTCCTGCCCTGTGCCACAAGCGGCCCCAATTTTTTTTTTCCCTTTTTCTGAGAACAGACGTCTCACTCTGTCTGTGCCAGACAGACCTGGAGTACAGTGGCGCATCCCCGCTCACTGGCAAGCCCTCTGGCCTCCCCGGGTTCATGCCTTTCCCTCCCCTCCAGGCCTCGCCTGATTAGCTGGGACCTAACAGGCGCCTGCCACCCGCCCCGGCTAATTTTTGTATTTGTTTTTTTTAGTACAGATGGGGTTTTCACCGGGTTAGGCCAGGGCATGGCTCTCGTCTCCCTGACCCCGATCAAGTGATCCACCCCGCCTGGCCTCCGCAACAAGTGCTGGGATTACAGGCCCCTGAGCCACCCAGCACCCAGCCTATAGGCTGCCACATGTTTTAACTGTAAGCCATCAGATCGCCAAAATGGCTTCAACCTTCCACCCGCCAAAGTCGGGCTGTCATGGGACCAATCTCTAAAAAAGGGTGCAGTATGCAGCAAGGAGGAGCAGGGAAGGAAAGGGCGAGTGAGGTGGCTATGCCCTCTCAGCACTCACTCAGTCTGGAGCCCTCCTTGTCCCTCATTCTCAGGGCAGTGGCGGCTCCCTTGGTCACATCAGATTCTCAGCAGCAAGCTGTTTAGAAATAGGAGTGGCGATCGAGGGGTAACAACAGACCTACTGGTTCTGAGCAGAGTTGCTTGAGGAGAAGCCCGTGGTGTGTGCAGTGATTGAGGGAGAGGTGGCGACTGGCACAAACTGCCAACGCAGTCGACTAATGCTCTAAACACCCTAGTGTCTCATCCTCTACAATGGTCCAATAGTATTGTGGAGGCCCTTGAAATGGGATGAAAAATAAAGACTAAGTTAGGGTGATTTAAAAACGTGGCTTCTCTTGGTCCAGGTGGCGTGGCTCACCGCCCTGTAAA